TGGTTATAGTTTCCTTGCAAGATCGCAGTTATATTTGGTTAGGGAGATGACTAGCTTTCTTGTATTCTTAGGGAAAATTTCGAAAATGTACCAGGAATAAGAATCCTTCTAATCTTTTCACCTCAAGAAAGGAAATAAAGTCATTAACACGCGAGGTAGAGTATGAAAGAAAATGGCAAAGCACTAGTGAGGAGAAAGCACAAATAAAGAACAGGCATCAGGAAAACAGTAGATGAACATCAACGTCTCATTCAAATTTTGAACGATCATAGGTAAAAAGAAAGCAAAAACCGGAAGAAAGACGAACAGACAAAAACTACGCGGAAAGATTACTATAAGATACGGGTGTACCTAGCAATTTCTGCAGTAAAATGAGACTTATTTGCCAATCTGATTGAACGATTAGATTCATGTGGTCAAACTACATGTGATGAAAGCTCCTTAGAACAATTGTCATGAATACATTTATAGAAAACACACAAAGGAAAACACGTCACGGCGGTGGAAAATAACTGAAGTTGAATTACTTGGTCAGGACTGGTACAATTATTAACCATTCTTGGGATTTCGAAATAAATACCTAGGGGACCAGAACAAATATAGGGGTAATATTCAATGTATTGACGAATGGTAAACATATGAACGGCCAAGAAGTATTCTGGGGGGAATTTTTTTCTCGCACGTCACAGTGAAACAAGTATCCTAAAAGTCACTAAATGATAGCTGCTTTGTTTTGAAGTCGTTCATTCAAGGCATTTCTTGCACCAGTCAACAACTGAACGGAAGTCATTTTTCTTGATTAGATACAAGTTTTACTTCATCGAAGTTTCTGTGTCTTATTTAAATAGTTAAACATATTTATACATTATCCTGACATCATTTATCATTTCCAAACGTGCTCGTATCTTTCTCATACAGTGTCTAAAAGCAGAAAAAAGTAAAACATACATCGCGTATATGTCTTAATGAATAGGGATTGGCCCATGCAACGGCAGGTATAATTGATAGTATTAATTCTATTAATAAAATTTTACGTCATGTGCAAATATCTATTAAAAAGTATCTGACTGCGTAGAGTAGCGGAGCTAAGAAATTGGTATTGGCCCGCGCATCGCCGATTTAAATGATAGTATTAATAATTATATATATATATATATATATATATATATATATATATATATATATATATATTAAATGGGATGGATGGGTAACATAACAGGTATCGGCGTGGAAATTGAAATCAGCGAACCGAGTTATAATCGTACAGATGTCCTTGGCAAAGGCAAGATTACAACTTCAATCTTCCCCTAGTTGTCGATGAAGTAACAGCGTAGACTGAACTTTCTAGCTTTGATCCTCAGCCAGTTATAGAGAAAAAGAACTATTGAAATATTGGAGAATACAAGAGAAACCGAATATACCATCTTTGCCATGAATTTATGGCAATTCATATGAAAAAGAGAAGATATTTACTTTCTTATACGTTGTTTCAATGTTCGATGCAGATATCTTCAGTTATGTTTAATATTACTCAAGTCAAAATTAGGACAAGTCACGGATTTATTTTGCTTAAACAGTGTGCCAGTGTATCAGAACTTTTATTAAATATTGATATTTAAAATTTGATTTCGAAATCCTGCCTTTACGTGGAATCTGTCTTCTGGTATCACACACACAAATCTGTGTATGCATATATATATATATATATATATATATATATATATATATATATATATATATATTAATTTTTCTTTTTAAGAAAATATCCAGGCCGGTAGATGTAGTTGGATAATAACTACTATTTAATTAAAAAAGGAACTTCGCCTCAAATATGAGTAATCCCCAAAAACATGACGTTTAAACAAGATAAATTAAAAATAACACATGTACATACATACATACATATATATATATATATATATATATATATATATATATATATATATATATATATATATATGTGTGTGTGTGTGTAAAATATATATGTGTGTGTGTGTGTAAAATATATATGTGTGTGTGTGTGTGTAAATATATATATATATGTGTGTGTGTGTGTGTACGCATGTGTGCCTATATATATACAAACAGATATGTCGAGACAGAAAGAGAGAGATATATTCATTTCAAAATGCTGATGATTGCACCAGATTTAAGAAAACTATATATATATATATATATATATATATATATATATAAATATATATATGCATAAAAAGAGATAGTTGGGGAGAGAGATATGGCACATAATGTGATAGATAGATTGACAGATAGATATATAGATAATTTAAAGAATATCACACCTTCATATCTGTAATATTTCTCCCAACTACATAAAAAAAAATCAATAAATGACCTAATCGATACAAAATTAGTCAAAACTTGAGGAAAGAATTTACTCCATGAACCGCAAGGTTTGCCTGAAAGAATATATTGGAGAAACTTGATGTAATTTAAATAAAATATTACATCAACACAAAAGAGACTTAAAAGGTAAACAGCACATGAAACGCATTAGTTTCTCATTGTAACGAGGCTGATCGTAATTTTGACATAAAAATGCTAATCCGATTAAAATCGAACTTAATTCACTAAGAGGAAAATTAGAAAGAGTTTTAATAGCAAATTCAACGACTGTAAATTTGCGGTCATTTTTTTTACTATTTTTGGCAGAATTTTTATTATCACAATGTGGAATATTTAATAACAAAGCTGCTGCAAAGAAAGACAAAAAATAAAACAAAATACAGTTAGCTTGGTTATATATCCAAAAACCATATATATATTTTTTTATTTAAAATTGCCAGCGGCTCTTGGTGGTGCGCATGTGAAAACCAACCTAATCTGGTGAAGACCTAAAGGACGAAAAAGCGTCACACGAAAATGTTTTACACTTTGTCATATAGCTTTCTTCCAAAACTGTTCTTAAGACATGAAATTATATACCATTATCCGCTATATAACTGGTGTAACAGCAAATTTGTCCAAATTGTGTAACAGCATGGTATAATTGTTCATCTCGCAAAATGTTTAATATCTAAAAAAAAAGAAAAAAATTTTCCAAGTTTTCAGATAAGAGGTTTAGCCATCATTTTCACATGAATCACTGAAAAACACTTTGAGTTATTCAGCTAGAAAGAGAACATGTTAAAATCATTTTGAATCATCCCCATTATCTCTTACCAGCTGAGCAATTGTGAGAGGAAAAAGATCATTCATGTCTTCAGTAATGATTCCAAAATACATAAATCTGGCTTCCATCTTCAAAGTCCATTCAAGATCCATCACGATAACGGTGAAGTTTAAAAAGTAGGAACAGTAGAGAGAAAAAAAATGGATCAGAATGTTACAACAGCAAACTAGATCATAGATTCAAATTAGGGATAATTTCATTCTTATTGTTCAAGGTAGATGCGAATAGTGTTATAAAACGTCGCAGAACTCCAGTTAGATATCTTTGATCATTTCTAAGATGGAACGATTCAAAGTTTAATCTAACATTTAGACAATATGGCGTTACATGATTTGGACAGTTCTGTTGTTAAACCCGGTAAACACACGCGCACGCGCGAGCGTATTTAAACATATATCATTAAATATAACAGACATTGAACAGTTCTAATGTTCGCGTGCTTGCTTTCATTTCTGGTGAAAAGAAAGACAAAAATTGTCCAACATTTGGATATATTTTTTTATTAATTTGATCCTAAGTTTTCGGCTCACATAATCCATCCTCAAAATGTTTATAAAGACATGAAACAAAGATATCCACCGTTAAAGATGATATTTTTCTTATTTTGACATAGAAAATTGCTATGCGTCGACAACCGTCGCGGAATGGCAGATGTAGATCGTAAGTTCAAGATGAGGTTTTATGACGTCATACAACACAATAGATAGAAGTATTCAAACAGAATCAATGGCTAGAAACAATGTAATGTGTTGAGACTAGTTTGAACGGTAATTTTGTAGAGTTAGTGTTGCTTCGTTTTCATGTAGATGGCCTCCAATATTTTAAAGTATTTTTACTGTGTCTATGTGTGAGTATTATTGTGTTATCAACTAATATCTGTCTAATATTATGTACATGGCCGAATATATATATATATATATATATATATATATATATATATATATATATATATATATGAATGATCTTTTGATCATATGAACATTTTATCTTAATCTGTGTTAGTCTGCACATTCTATATTTCGTTAAATACTGTTAATTCAGAATTTCTTATTTCACGGTTATGCCCACTTCGAAGTTATTATTTCTATTTTGATATTCACACTAAAATTCATTCTTACTTTTTGTGAAAAATTAGTTCTCTGTTAGTAAGATAATTCATAATTTTTCCCCATAATCTATTGCTCGTTCTATGCAAGGAAAGCAAAAAATTTCTTGTAGTTTTAGTCGTTTTTGTAGGCCAACAATTTGGAAATACAATTTCGGTAACAGTTCTTTTGACTTCTCTGACCTTTGTTTTCTTTCTTTTTTTTTGCCGCTCTATTCTTCAGCCTTCATGTTTCATTGATGCATTATGGAGGTCAAACGATTATTGATTATCAGTATTGATTCTCGACATGAGCACGAGATGTCAGACAATACCTTAAAAATAGAATTATATTTTTTATCGGTTTTGTTTTGAAAGTAAAGATATTGTAGGATTCACCAGACTTAGATGATTATCATCGAAATTGCTTTTCATTCCAGTTTTTAGATGAAAAAATCCTATGCAAAAATTCAGAAATGCGTTATACATTGAATTATTTTTTTCAATTATTGAGTTGAGATGCCACAGTATCTATTATTGAATGTGCAAGATTTGCCGTCTGAATGTCATGCTGACATTTTGAATTGGTAGTGTGAGTTTATTCAATTAGTTTCCAATAACAAGAATTTGTTTGAGAGATGGAAGTTTCAAATTGTTATGATTAAGGTACTATATTTTTTAATATTATTGATAATTACAAGGAATTATATTTATAAATTACTAGCAATGATATCCGCTATCGAGAGATCCATGTCGCTTTTCTTTTTATGTTATTATTATGCCTTATCGACTCACGGGATATGTTTATAAGACCGATTAAAATAATAGATTTAATTATCAAGGACTGTGGTTGATTTTGTTTAGCGGTATATCAATACCACTATGGGTTATTTAATGCGGGAATCTAAATATTTTGAACGCAATTTTATGCATTCAACTACAAATATCTTGTAAATAATTTTATACTTTCAGGGTAATCGTATATTTTTTAAGATATATAGTTTGTAGATAAAATCTATTTTTGTTAATGTAGAATAACAATACAATAAACGACACTTACCGGCGTAAGAGTTCCAGCTAGCGTCCAGCTGGCAGACAAAAATAAAGCAGGTTGTAACTTAATACAAACCCTGCAAATTAACTGAAATTAAGCTGGTATTTATATAGAAATACTTCCACTCAGCTACCAGCAGCCAATCACAGCCCAAGCAATGGACTATCCCACTTTAGCATAATGAGATGCTCCATTGCACCATAAATAACTCTCTTCCTCAATGTTGAATCAGTCTTCACTCAGCTTGCTCCACAACTGAGTGTTTATCTTGACCACGTGATTGTTCGACAGTTAATAATTTTAGATGTGTTTATAATGACAAAAGTACGCAGGTGTAACCTTTAAGAAAGCTTTATTCCAATGAGAATACAATCATCACGTATAATGTCCGTTTATAGTTCCAGTAAACAGAAATATTTCTCTCAAAGAGGAGAGTAACAAAACAAGGGGAGATCACTCTTGATTATTCAGACCAGTATTGCTGGTAATGTGTTGCTTGTAATATTATTATAAAAATGTACTGTGGATTTTTGTTTGGGGGAGGGGCTACATTGTTCCCATAGCTGCGACCCTAAAAAGTCAGGCTTGAACTGGGAACAATAGCAGTTAAGATATAGTTCCACGACCCTCAGTATCTCCAATCTCCATATAAGAGGTCTTGCTGCCTGATGTAGTTTATCGTCATACCCAATACAGAATTACCAGAGACAAAAACCACACCGGATAGAATCGATTACGAAGTTTTTGTTTGCAGTAGACTGGCTTAGAGTATGAATGTATCGGTTATTAAATTCTGTCACTGTATGATAAAACTACATTGTTTGCTTCATAGCAATAGTCAGAAAACTAAGATGGTCTTTGGAAAGTTGAACTAAAGGAATTTTCACCGACTTCAGACAACGAATGACAGCGGAAACCATTCAAGTAAAATAGAGATAATGGTCTAAGATCCATGCATTGAATCTGGATCTATTGTAATTAAGCTATCCCCAGTCAGCGTTTGAGTGTTCTCCTCTGGCCGCTTCCATAGGCTCTTCACTGAGCCAGTGGAAAGTCGTCAATTCATTGAGTGAAGTTATTCGCTCAATTGTCCGGCCGGGAAACGGACATATGTATGCGGTGACTAAGTTCTTTTGTCTATTCAAAATCCACTTGAAAAGATTTATACTGCTCAATAAACAAGGAAATGTCTTCCCTTTCGTAAAAGCCACAAGATTCAGGATATTCTTATTATTTCCTTTTCCTTTCTTTCTTTCTTTCTTTATATCATTTTCTTTTTCCGTTGACGTATCAATTCTTAGCATTTTCGTTTCTTTCTTTTTCTATAGTTTAATGACTGTTTCTCTTTTTCTCTTGCACATTCTTCATAATTCTTATTGTTCTTTTAAGCGTTTCTTTTACATTCCTTTTTTTTATTTAATTTCTTCAAACTTTCTCTTCCTTTGCATCATTATTCTTCAAGTTTCTTTTTATCTTCGTCCATTTTCGTCTCGTTAGATCTATTTAAATTATTCACACCTTTTACAGTATTACCTTACTTTCCTTCTGTGTTGACTTTGGCTGAACACCGCCATTTCCCCGTCCACTTTCCGTTTCGACATCACTTTCTTCTTGTTCCTTCTTTTACTTCATTCCGTCCCCATCACTTTCCCTGCATTTTCCTTTTCAACACTTCATCCTCCTTTTACAACGGCCACTCAGTTTCTAACAATACCAATTATTTGGAAGCGAAGGAAAGCGAACGCTCAACCCGAAGCAAAGATCCGATATCAATTGTTCCCGTTACCAACGCCGCCACTGGAGCCGAAGGCATTCAAGCAATTCTTCTACTGACCACTCCTACTTGACGTAAACGTAGTACCACCAACGGTTACTTGAGCACTCATTCTTGCATGGAGGTGCTGGCCATCACCAGGTCTGATTGGGAGGAGATGTAGGGACAGAAGACGATATTGATTTGGTTAGACCGTATATTTGGAAGATCAGACGATCGTGATCAAATTCAACCAGTCAGATATTCCTGGTAGAGTGACGTTGTGTAACGACGAGTGAATAACATGCAGTAGAGAACTTTAAGAATCTAGTCACAGGAAATGAAGCAACTACACGTGGAAATGTACAAACAATAGAAAATATCGAAAAACGAAAGAAATAAGACAAGGGAGAGAGAAGAGAAAGAGGACAGAGAGAGAAAGGAAAGGTTTTTAAAGGAATTAAATCATAGATTTGTAAATAAACGAAAGTAATATAAAATTTCAGAATGCTAAACAATCGCAACACAGATAAAGAAGAGACATGAAGCAACAGAAATCCGGTTCTACAGAAGGATGCTGTGAATAACATGATCCGAATTTGTGGGCAACGACGAAGTTTTTCGAGAAAATGGAAACAAAAACGACACTTATATACAACTGTTGTGTCATCCCTCTAAAGAGTCTATTTTGGACTCTTCAGCCTACTATAAGATTAGTAGAAGAGAAGGCCTTGCTGGAACAGTCGCATAGATTGTTCAACTGTCGAACACTCTGCTTTGGCAGAGTGGAACTGGGACGAAGATTTGCCGCAGGGCAAAGTTTCGTCCGGGGAGGTAGACAGTCCCTGAACCCGTTTAGGAGGGTTCAAAGGAAATATATTTAGACGAGCCTACGGGCTGGGAGTACCCACAATAAACCGGCCTTGTGCCACATACACCCTCGTGGGTGGGGGCTATTAAATATTAACAGTCGAATAGATTTTTTGATACTGTTGAACTATCTGCCTTGAGCAGAGAGGAACCCGGACGAGGCTTTGCCGTAGGGCAAAGTTTCGTCCGGGGAAGTAGACAGTCTATTAACCTGTTTATGCGGGTTCTAAAGGAATATTTTGGGCCCAGCGTACGGGCTCGGAGGACCCACGGTATACTTGGCCTTGTGCCACATACATCCCTCGTGGGGTGTGGCTCTTAAATATTGACAGTGGAATAGATCATTCGTTACTGTCAAACCCAGACGAGGCTTTGCCGTAGGGAAAATTTTCGTCCGGGGAAGTAGACATTAACTGAACCCATTTAGGCGGGTTCAAAGGGAATATATTTGGATGAGCCTACGGGCTCGGAGTACCCACAATAAACCGGCCTTGTGCCACATACACCCTCGTGGGGAGGGGGCGTTAAATATTAACAGCTGAATAGATTGAACGCTGGGTCATCCGACACGCCCTCTCTAGACGTGTAATACTCTTCTGCAGTAGTTAATGTTTAATATATATCTGTAACACTTTTTTCTGTTATTTCTTTAACCATTCACTTGGTCAGAACAATAACATTAGAAAGATACAGCTGAAATTTCTATATATAATGAGGAAAGACGGCTTAGACAAATTGATATGCGCAGGATAGTTTGAAGAAAAGAGACACAGCTTATTCTAACTTGTGAGGTTAAGCAAATGAGTGGCGGAACAAGGTTTAGTAGAAAAGAAAAAGAAGAAGAATTAATAAGAGCTCTGAAGGACTGGATAGTGTAGAGAGCCATGATCGTCTACGTCCTGAATAAAGGGGCACAAAGAAGAAGTCTTTCTTTCGCCATCTTCATTTCTGTCTCATCAAGTTATTCTTTACAAACTGCATGAACAATTTAACATGCGTATTAAAAAGAAACGCGTTGCATTGGCGCGGTTTCGCTCCTTATTACCGTTAGACATGATGTCACCGAGGTTTATTTTCCACCTTCAGCTCAGTAAAGAATATAACCAACTGATATTTCCCAGACATATAGACAGCTCATGTTTCTTGAAATTGTGAGAGATAGTTGAACGTAAGTGAACAAAAGCAACAGACCAAACCAAAGTAAAGCTTTACCCTGAAGATCCATTTAGGTGGAACCTAGGTAGGTTTCCTGGTGCCTTAAGATTACTTTAGGTTCGGTCTACTTAGTGTGTTGATCACTTTACGTAGTTGTCTTTTTACTCGTTTTGGGTTTTTTTCTTTGGACTTGCAGCTTAAACTCTTGGCGATTGTTCTCGTCTTATTTTTATGTTCTTGGTTCTTTCTTATTTTATTTCTCATTTTTCCTCGGGTACAGAATTATTCTACTACAAGTTGTCCGAGGTTTTTACAAACGAGTACCACCATTATATATATATATATATATATATATATATATATATATATATATATATATATATATATATATATATAATTCAAAACCTGCGGAGGGTCGTTTGGGGACCTTGTGGCACTTAGTGCACAAGGTCTCTGTATTCAACCCTTCAATAAGTGTGGATGGTCCTGCACGAAAACCTTCACCACTATAATCAAATCTCATGTGCCGTTGTCGGGCTGTCGGTTTCCTGGAAACTGATCTGCTTGACCCTCATTCGTCGAACACAACGGGAGAGTCGACTATATGTGTGTGTGTGTGTGTGTGTGTGGCAACAATCTAGTAAGATGGCCTGAATTTCACAAAATTATTTTTAAACTAGATAAATACAAATAAAACATTAAACAGACAGGACTTGTTTGATTTTCATCAAATTTGTTTAAATAAACACTCGTTTCATTCGGAGAGCCGAGTTCGAATTCTAGTCCATTACATTCTACCATAGACCATA